ATAAATAGAAACATGTGTAAATTTGGCAAAATTTATGGACAGAAAAAAAACATCAGAATTTTACCAAGTAAAACAATCACAGGCTTTTGTTTTACCTCACTTGGCAGGACGGTAGTACCTCCCTGGGGGGTTGCGTCTACCAACCTATACCTACTTTCATCATTATTCAACACTTTCACCACACTCGCAAAAATTATCACTGTTTTTGCAGAGGTGCTCAAATACAACATTTAGAATTATAGTATAAAGAAACCAAATTCCCTCCAAACGCCAATATCCCAAACCCCTCCTTTAAATGCAGGGATTGTACTTCCCCTTTCCAGGGTCAAGCCACATATGAAAATATTATTTAATTTTTGGGAACTGAAACTCTATCGTTATTATAATAATAATAATAATAATAATTTAAAAAAATAATAGTAATAAAAATACAAAATTTTGGTAATTTGGATCTGTGCTCTAGTTACCTAAATTAATAATAATAATAACACTAATAATAATAATAATAATAATAATAATAATAATAATAATACTTAATTATTATTATTATTATTATTATTATAACAAACGCCGCCAACTCAGTTCACTGTTTACCTCGCTGTGGGAGCAGTTTTCTCATGCTTTGCTTACATTTTTGACAGTCATTTAGCCAAATTTCATTTATCTAAGCATGGGCCCTAAGAAAGTAAGTGTAAAGGATAGTGCTGAGAAGAAAAAGAGAATGATTTCCATGGAATTAAAGCATGAAATCAAGCGAGGTGTCCAGGTTTTGGACTGAGGGGGAAGCAGGGGGGAGGGGAGGGGGGAGCTGGTTCATAATTCAAATGTTGGCTCGTAACTCAGAGCAAAAAAATCAATCCAGGGACGCCTCGTCTCTCAAAAAACTTGTACATTGGGACATTCGTAAGTCAAGCTTCCGTTATAGATCTATTTTTTTCAAACTTTACACACCAATTTTTCTTGAGTTTACAGTTATATATTACCGATAAAGGCACAACAATTATAAGAGACTTAGCTTGTGAAATGTTAGCTTTAGGCTTACAAATATTTAACTTTGATGTATTTCTTAGGTCTTTTACTGCTTTATCTGACACACTTCATAACATTAAGAACAGCACTAGATAACCTGCTGCAAGACTTTATTAGCATACGTTTAAGTAATATACAGCTTCTCCTCACGTAGCAACGTACTCGTTTACCGATGCCTCGGACATACGACAGGCTCTCTGACCAGTATTCATACCTAAATAATGTATATTAGAGCTGATTTCCTCTATTCTGTTCATTTCAATATACAGTACACTACTGTATAAACATTTAAAAATATAAATGGTGCAAAGGTGACATTAAAACAATATCAAAGATGGTTGACACAAACTTACTACCATTAAAGTATGCTCCTCACTTAGCGACGAATTTGTTTAACGATGTGGACTTAGGAATGGAACTCCATCACTAAGTGAGGAGAGGCTGTATTATATTTTATGAAGAATAAATCGGCAGAATACTCTTGCTGGACCCCCCTTTATTGTGTCTTTAAAATGCATATTACAAGAAAATGAAAAGGATTACATTTATCAGTTCTGTACATAAATATGTCAAGTATTAGTTAACAAACTTAATACCCCAAACAAAACTGTTGCAAGATCTAACATATTCTTCAGTGACTGAACTTCCTATCTCAATCATATGTTAAGAAGTTCTAGCAATGTAAGAAAAATATATCAACCCTGAACTTACTTTTTCAAGCTACAATAATTTTTAAGAACACCACTGACAATTCATAATTTCCACACAATATCTCATAAAACTAGTACTGTACAATAACAAATGCAAAGTATCCAGAATCAGCCTTATTATAAACTGGTACTGCAATCAAATTTTTATTGTTCCATAAAATCACTAATTTACATATTTTTTGCATTTAACACTGAAATTAAATTATCGGTCTTTAAAATCTGGAGATACTTTGCATGATGATTAACCTATAGACAAACTGTTTACCTTTCAGCCAGATTTAAAATAGTTATATATTACAGGCATGAACAATAAGGGCAATACCAAATTAGGATAAACTTTCAAAAATTAGAGAAAGAAATACAAGAATAAAGTATGAAAAAATGAGATTATGAGGCTGGAAAAGATATACCATGGCTACCAAGAAGAAAACTTTCCCAAACATTATATTTAGAAAAGTTTAAAAATTAAAAATCATGCAAGAACATGGTTACATTTATCAGGCCACCTCTATCAGAGCAAGGTGGTGTGTGCAGTCTCTTTCATGCATAATTAGATAACCTTGAACAAGACACTCCCCACGAACATTTTCCCTCTACTCATATACGTGGTCCCTCGCTTTTCGTAGTTCTCGGCAATCGTAAATTTCGCCAATCATAGGGGTATATTCGTATAAACATGGACTCGCTTTTCATAGGTTGACTCGCGAATAGTAGTTCATCCAGGACGCTTACGCACGGTGTGAGCCAGGGAGGCCTCCCTACCCAGCCAGTCTGGCATTGTTTACCAGTGAGTGAAGGTCCCCCCAAGTGCTCCTACGAAATATTTCATAATATTCCACTCATTTTAGTGCTTGCAAGTACTAAATAAGCTACCATGGCTCCAAAGAAAGCTCCTAGTGACAAGCCTGTGGTAAAGAAGGTGAGAAATATGTACAGTGACAAAGTCTTGGGCCATTTTAGGGAAGTGTTAAAGAGACGCCAGAAACAGAGCTCTCTCCACAGTTACTTTGCGAGACAGGACTAGAGTGACTCTCAAGGTGGTCCTAGTGGCATTAAGAAACAGAGAAGAGAAGCAACCCCAGAGAAGCAATTGGTACCTGAGGTGTTGCTGGAAGGGGATTCCCCTTCCAAACTGTAAACAATCCAATCTCTCTCCTCCTCCAGTCTCCCATACACTAAGAAGAATCTCCAATAAAGGTAAGTGTTAAGCTGTTAATGCTTCAATCATCATTTCCCATTGTATTGTTTATGTACTACATGTATATTTCATGTAAAAAAATTTTTTGTTTTAATACTTCTGAGTGTCAGAAACGGATTAATTGTATTTACATTATTTCTTATGGGGAAAATTGATTCGCAAATCGTAAATTTCGTTTATAGTAGCTCCTCCATGAATGGATTAATTACGAAAACCAAGGGACCACTGTACACATAAATCAATTGGCAAAGCACACGTCTCACACACTAAGTGTCCATGGTTCAGTCCCCAGCATGGGTGGAAACAATGGACATGTTTCTTTACAATTGCTGTCCCTGTTAACCTAGCAGTAATAAGTACTTGGGTGCTAGTTGACTGTTGTGGGTCACATCCTGGGGGACAAGACTGAGTCTTTGATGACATCATGGGTGACTAACCTTCTGGGTTAAAATCCGAACAAATCTTATCTTAACTATGCCTCCCCAAAACTTTCCTACAAGGGCCTGCCCAAAAATGAGTTCAGTAAAGAATCCGTGTTATTGGGCATTGTTATAAATGGGTCATTTAAGTTTAACACAAAGTTATTTAATTTTTTTTTTTTCAACAAGTCGGCCGTCTCCCACCGAGGCAGGGTGACCTAAAAAGAAAGAAAATCCCCAAAAAGAAAATACTTTCATCATCATTCAACACTTTCACCTCACTCACACATAATCACTGTTTTTGCAGAGGTGCCCAGAATACAACAGTTTAGAAGTCTTCTTTCTTTCAACACACCAGCCGTATCCCACCGAGGTGGGGTGGCTCAAAAGGAAAAACGAAAGTTTCTCCTTTCAAATTTAGTAATATATACAGCAGAAGAGGTTACCAGCCCCTTGCTCCCGGCATTTTAGTCGCCTCTTACAACACGCATGGCTTACGGAGGAAGAATTCTGTTCCACTTCCCCATGGAGGTAAGAGGAAATAAACAAGAATTAGAAAGAAAATAGAAGAAAACCCAGAGGGGTGTGTATATATATGTTTGTACATGTATATGTAGTGTGACCTAAGTGTAAGTAGAAGTAGCAAGACATACCTGAAATCTTGCATGTGTATGAGACAGAATAACAAGACACCAGCAATCCTACCATCATGTAAAACAATTACAGGCTTTCGTTTTACACTCACTTGGCATGACGGTAGTACCTCCCTGCGCGGTTGCTGTTTACCAACCTACTACCTACAGTTTAGAAGTATATACGTATAAAAATACACAATATATCCCTCCAAACTGCCAATATCTCAAACCCCTCCTTTAAAGTGCAGGGATTGTACTTCCCATTTCCAAGACTCAAGTCCGGTAATATAAAATAACCAGTTTCCCTGAATCCCTTCACTAAATATTACCCTGCTCACACTCCAACAGCTCGTCAGGTCCCAAATACCATTTGTCTCCATTCACTCCTATCTAACACACTCACGCACGCTTGCTGGAAGTCCAAACCCCTTAATAAATATTGTTTTTAACTCACTGGCAGTCTCCTACAGTGGCAGGGTGACCCAAAAAAGAAGAAACACTTTTGCCATCATTCACTCTAGTAACATGGGTCTTAATCCAGTGATGACCCTTCACTAGTTAAGGATTCTTGCCTACCCTACCATCTTATCTGATCTAATTTGACTTGGTATAAGACATTCAACCTGATTATGAACCATAGAGGGCCCCCGACACTAGGCCTTGGTAGCCCCAGAGCTTGCCCTGTATGTGAGGGGCTCTTGGGGCTAGGTCTTGGTAGCCCCAGAGTTTGCCCTGGTTCTGAGGGGCCCCCGATTCTGGTCTTCAAGACAGGATAACTGGATGTCCCACACCCAAATCTCTCATGACCAGTAAAGTTTACCATCAGTTACCTAAAACAATTGCCTATTTGTAACTGAAATGAGTTAAACAAGTACAATATACTTAGAAAAATAAACTACAGCATATAATTCACAACTCAGATCTGAAATAAAAGTTAAAATTATGCAAAAGGTTAACTGAGTGAGCTGGAAAAAAAACTTATCAGGCTCAACCTATCAGATTCACTTACCTAGTGAAGAAATCCTGAGAAGGAGTATTGTCTCTGAAGCCAAAGAGAATTGTATTAGGCTTCATGGCTCCTAGCCCAGAAACACGAACCAAATGGTGTAAGCCTTCACGCACAGTGCGCCCAACAGTCACCTCAACAAATGCTTTGACCTGATCAAAGCAATACATAATATGGAGTAAACTGCAAAATCAACAAGTTAATGACTTCAAAATACGAAAATTACTACTCTGGGACACAAGCGAATCTTAAGTGTATGAATCAACTACATCAGTTATCACAGGTAATCAGTGCTGCAAACAAGGAGATTTTCAAACTAGGAAAGGATTTATGCTGAGGATGAAATTTCAAATCCTTTTAATTAAATTAATTATCTTTTCTAATATTTACATTTCATCTTTTACTCAGTTTTTTCTAGGATCCCTGAAGGGATACATTTAAGTGGTTACCTGATTTTTTTCTCTTCCTCCAACAGCCTTCAGTAGTCTCTCATTTAGGTCACCCACAACAATTCTCTCATCTGGTTTTTAATTAACTAAACATTCACCTCTATTAAATGTGCAATTCAGTTCTATTCTTCATAACATCTAATAAAACTGGAATTTATTCCTAGACAGAAAGTTTTTGCAGTTAAATACATTTAAAAAAATTTTGCCCCCAAAATATTTGCTGATTACTCGATACATAAGTTGCAATATCTCATTCTTTTACATTAAATTTACAATATATACGCCTGACTGTATTGGAATGTGACTGATTAACCCTTTGACTGTCACGGCCGTATATATACGTCTTACGAGGTACCGTGTTTGATGTATATATACTCATAAATTCTAGCGGCTTCAAATCAAGCAGGAGAAAGCTGGTAGGCCCATAGGTGAGAGAATGGGTCTGTGTGGTCAGTTTGCACCATATAAAAAAAATCCTGGAGCCCGCAGTGCATGATGAGAAAAAAAAAACTCCGACTGTTTTTTTTAATTAAAATGCCGACTTTGTGGTCTATTTTCGTATAGTATTTATGGTTGTGTTCTCGTTTTCTTGGTCTCATTTGATAGAATGGATAACGTATTATAGAAATAGAGGTGATTTTGATTGATTTTACTATAAAAAGAACCTGGAAATGGAGCTCAAAGTAGGGGAAATGTTTGATTTTTGCAGATGTTCAAAAGTAAACAAATGATGTCATTGTCCAATAAATGTCCAACTAGCCATTCTAATATGCAGTCATGAATGGGTTGATGTTATTTATACAATTATTACAGTATTGCAGTAGTCTGCATAATAGTAAGTCTTCTATTTTTTGTTTGAATAAAAATTCATAATAGAAAGCAAGAGTAATATCAGAGGGGCCTGGAAACATGGCTGATGAACAAAGAAAATGTTATTTTAGAGCCAGGAATGTCTGCATTGTTCATTCTGGACCTTATTTTGAAACTGTCATATTTTTTAATTTTCGTGAAATTGGCCAAATTGCAAATTTCTGACCACATTATTGGGTAATTGAAATCGGTAAATGGGCAGTTTCTTGTACTCAATCGATAGAAAAGATGGAGTTCTAAAGAAATAGCTATGCGTTTGGTTGACTGGAACAATGGAATTAGCCGAAAATAGGGGTCAAAGTAGCAAAATCGCCGATTTGTAAATATCGCCGAGGTCGCTAACTTCGCGAGAGCATAATTCCGTCAGTTTTCCATCAAATTTAGTTTTTTCGGTGTCATTGCAATTGGGAAAAGATTCTCTATCATTTTCATAAGAAATTTTTTTTTTTTTTTAAATTCTGCGACACCAGGAGACACCTCAGGATTGGGGGTTGCAACAGTCAAAGGGTTAAATCAACATAGAGCTATTCAAGAAAATTTCAAAATTATAATTCCTCAAAGTAAGTGGAAAAGAATTCTTCCTCCATAAGCCATGCGTGTCATAAAAGGCGACTAAAATGCCGGGAACAAGGGGCTAGTCACCCCTTCTCTTGTATACATTACTAAAGTTAAAAAGAGAAACTTTTGTTTTTCTTTTAGGGCCACCCTGCCTCGGTGGGATACAGCCGGTTTGTTGAAAGAAGAATTCCTCAAAATGCAGAATTACAAAATATATCGATCATTACTTTGTAGAAATATGCACATACAAAGAGCAATTAATAAATACACACATTTTGTGATAAAAATGTCATAACTAAAAAGGTTTACTTATCCAAGATACAATTCCTACTTGAACTGGCATTTTGCATTATTTCTCCCATACAATTTACACATTGTAAATTATTAATAACCATCTAACAAAAAAAAGTGACATATACCTTCAAATGATCCACCAGTGCCATCCATTTTGGGTAATCCTCTGCAGCTGGGTCTCTCTCCCCCTCATTGTAATTGCCAACCTGAAAGCCACAAGGAGAACATTATATGACCACGTGTAGTATTACCTTACCGGGATACCATATAAATTGTCAAATGAAAATATGTGGCTGAGCCATTAGCAATAAGAGTTTACGTAACACACAAAATATAATTTGCTGAATTTGACGTCAGCGCTTTTGAAGCACGAAATATTCCCTTCAATAGCTTGTCAGGCATGAAATATTCCCATAAATATTTAATTTATTTGTTGAATGAAAAAAATATTGGCATAGTAAATAATCTGAAGTTGGTAGTCTGAACTACTGTACAACAGTAGAAGTGTTTGGTTATTCAGTACTTTTAACATACAAAGTAGCTATTATGTTACAAATAATACATAATACTGTGGAGCAATTTTATGCCAATCATATGTATATAGTGCATACTCCGGTGGAAGATTCAATCACCCACTCTCCTCTAAACAAGGAAAATCTGACAAAAATTAAATGACCAACTGAATGGTATCTATTAACCAACCTTTACATGACCCAAAACATATAAGCCAGACTTCTTGAGATCATTTGTGAAGTCAATCAGTGGGCACGCAGATCTTGGGTTGTTCACCATGAGTAGCATTTGGGGCCGCCAAAACTTGACATGGTCTTTTCGAGAATCCAACAACAGCAAATATTTCCGCACCTGAAATTATACAACAACCAATTTTTTTTTTTTTTATTATTATCACACTGGCCGATTCCCACCAAGGCAGGGTGGCCCGAAAAAGAAAAACTTTCACCATCATTCACTCCATCACTGTCTTGCCAGAAGGGTGCTTTACACTACAGTTTTTAAACTGCAACATTAACACCCCTCCTTCAGAGTGCAGGCACTGTACTTCCATCTCCAGGACTCAAGTCCGGCCTGCCGTTTCCCTGAACCCCTCATAAATGTTACTTTGTTCACACTCCAACAGCACGTCAAGTTATTAAAAAACATTTGTCTCCATTCACCCCTATCAAACACGCTCAGCATGCCTGCTGGAAGTCCAAGCCCCTCGCACACAAACCTCCTTTACCCCCTCCCTCCAACCTTTCCTAGGCCGACCCCTACCCCGCCTTCCTTCCACTACAGACTGATACACTCTTGAAGTTATTCTGTTTCGCTCCATTCTCTCCACATGTCCGAACCACCTCAACAACCCTTCCTCAGCCCTCTGGACAACAGTTTTGGTAATCCTGCACCTCCTCCTAACTTCCAAACTACGAATTCTCTGCATTATATTCACACCACACATTGCTCTCAGACATGACATCTCCAAATTGTTTTATTTCATGCAAAAGCTTGGCAAAACTATTAACTCCTTAAATAAACTGTATACCAAGTCTTTGAAGCATAACAGTTATGTATTTATCTGCAATCTTGTGACTCCCTTATACTTGGAACAGTAATGCTAATTACCCTTAAACTGTCCAAATGTAGATCTACGTTTGCACGCGTAGCGCTCCGAAAGTAGATCTACTTTTTTTTTTTTTACATAAGAAACATAGATCTACGTTTGCACAGTTTAAGGGTTAATTTTACCTGATGGAATATAAGAGCCTGAGATATAGACCCCCATTGGTGGTGCTCTGAGGGTGACTGCAGATGAAGGATAATAACCAACACCAGCAACATAATAACACAGATCCCAGCCACTGATGGACTGATTACAAACATCATTGCACCATTTCCAATTATTCCAAGCAATGTTGTCCACCAAGAGAAGTACCTGAAGGTTGGCCTGCAATAAAAGAAGTGATTTATTTTATCAGATTCATAATAGATTGCAAAATATACAATGGTCAACAACATTTTGTGAAGGGATTTAGGGAAACCGGTTAGCTGGACTTAAGTCCCGTTAGGTGGGACACAGGGCCTGCACTGTAATATTACAGGCATTACATTTTGTATGGTTCTGGTGAAATGGCTACTGTCTAATGATGAGAGAAGTCCAAAACATTCATTATTAGTCATGAAGATTAATCCACTTGAACAACTGTTCACCAGCCTATGGAAACCAGACTAGTTAGATGTAATGGGCAATTACCCGTGAGAATTGGCAGGATTGCCCATGCTGAACTTTAATTTCTCCCTTTCAGAAATTTGTCTTGAAAATTCGGCTTTACACGAGGCTCTAATGTACATAATTGTGAGCAATCGTGATCAAGTTTTTTGGCAAGGAGTTGAAATGATTAAATAAAATACAAATAGCCTACTGACACAATCAAGAATATGTCACAATATTTTTTATCTTATACCTAAACTTAAGAAATCTATAACAAAGATAATATTAATAAAAAACTAGCAAACGTGTACAAACTAACCTAAAATTAGGAGCACTGGCCCATTCAAGCCCAAGACATGCCAAGTTGGTTGCCAAGTAGGAGAGAAGGAAGAAAATAGAAGTAAATTTTGCAATTGTGTTGAGTCCTCCAATGAGCAGCACACCCTCCACAAGAATGGCTGACACAACCACTGCTCCCACTGGGTTACTTCCACAAGACATTAACCCAATGAAACGAGTCATTTTTCCTGTGAAAAAAAATTTGCATGCTGAAATTAATTCACAAGTCACAAAATTAATTAAAACATTAACATGTTACCATCTGTTATCCTAAGTGAACTGACAATTATGTCACTGCAAAACAAAACAAAATATAAGACAATTATACTAACCATAAATGTTGTCTTTTACCAATGCTGCTAAAACTCTTGATGATCCAATTATGTTGCTCAAACTTGCACTCAATGTTGCTGTCACAATTCCTGAAGGAGACATGAGAAATACAGGGGATAAAAGCATAATTCTCCATGGGAAAGTAGAGAAGAATTCTTCCTTCGTAAGCCATGCGTGTCATAAGAAGTGACTAAAATGCTCGGAGCAAGGGGCTAATAACCCCTTCTCCTGTATAAATCACTAAATTCAAAAAGAGGAAAACTCTACGTTTCTTCTTTTCTGGTCATCCTGTCTCGGCGGGGGATTGCCACTGTGTTGAAAAAACTACAATAGACATACTCTAACCTAATTTTAGTTATTTTCAAATACTGTGCATCCTCATGAAGAACACTAAATTCAGTTATGTGGGAAAAAACTAAACAAAACTAGAGCAACAAAGGGAACAAGCCCAATGTTAAGAGGAACCAGGAGCTGAGAGACTACTCTTATAAACACAAGTAGAAAAGTATAATAGTTCAGTACATATATTTTTTACTACATAATGCTAAAACCAACCATTTAATTTACTTTAATAAATTTTAGAGTAACACAGACAATATACGTATTAGGGTCATGAGGTATTGTCATTTGGGTCATCTGCACAGATGCTATATAAAAAAATTAAGGTGGTTATTAACTACTGATTTCTTGAAAAGATGAGATTAGGAAAATATAGTGCAATCTCACTCACTAAAGACTGCTGCATATGACATAAAATCAATTTGAATGACAATTTGTAATATCCATTTTTTTCTCTGGAAGTGAAGGCTATGTAGCATGAATATATTTTGTTTATGAATGTAACTTAAGAAAAAATCTACATGTTCAGGAAGTGCTCAATTAAGCAGAATTCACTTTCAAATGACCAAAATGAAAAAAAGCTGGATAAGAGGACAAACCCCTTTGAGAAGATGGGGCGTTGAATAAATAAATCCCTCGCCAAAACGGTGTAATGCTGCCGACTGATGGGCTACAGCTCGGGTATGATCAATCTGCATGACATACACTAGTCTAGCCCCTGGTCAGTCTCTGCAGCCACAGCCCCCACTTGGGCATGGGAGCCTCCCACTTTGAAAACCCATAGCATCTACAGCGATCAGAATCCAACCCCTTTCCTCTCCACTACAAAAAAAAGGCGTATTAATGTTGGTAGAATTACCAACAATATTTTAGGTAAAAGGATACACGAGCAACTAATGTGACATTTATTTTGGCAACATTTCGGTCACCAGGAGCTTGTCAAGCCGTTATTGTTTGACAAAGCTTCTGGAGAGCGAAATGTTGCCACAATAGAATGTCACATTAGTTGCACATATCCTTTTACCAAAAAAAAAAAAAAAAAAGGTGGCTGCCTAAAAGAAAATTTAAATAAAAAAAGCCTACCAAGTTGATATCACTTTTACAAGCCAAACAAAAACTTCTATACTGTATAAAACTTATCATAATACTCTCTATATCTAGCTAGATACACAGGTCATTAAATAAAATATAGGTCATTTCTGTCACACTTTTATTAAAAGACAAATAAAACTGAACTTACCAACGGTAACAAAAGGTTTCCATATGTTGACACCCATCATAAATATATAGTTGTTACAGAGTAAGAATCTTGTAGATGTAGAAGCAGTTAGAACAAATAACAGCAAGTACGTCAAAAAAGTGAAAAGTGTTGCCATAAGTGTGCCGAAGGGAATGCTTCGTCCTGGTTCTTTAAGTTCTCCTGAGGAAGAAGAAAGTAAAAATGCAATTGCAAAACCTTTTATACAGAGAAAACTACGACAATGATAACAGCAGTGGTACAAACCAAAGGACCTGTTATCACTGCATAGTGAAGGAAAAGTCAAGTAGCCAAGGGAAATAAATTTCCATTTTTTTTTTTTTTTTTTTTCAACAAGTCGGCCGTCTCCCACCGAGGCAGGGTGACCCAAAAAAAAAAAAGAAAGAAAATCCCCAAAAAGTAGTAGGTTGGTAGACAGCAACCACCCAGGGAGGTACTACCGTCCTGCCAAGTGAGTGTAAAACGAAAGCCTGTAATTGTTTTACATGATGGTAGGATTGCTGGTGTCTTTTGTCTGTTTCATAAATATGCAAGATTACAGGTACGTCTTGCTACTTCTACTTACACTTAGGTCACACTACACATACATGTACACGTTTATTTATACACACTCATCTGAGTTTTCTTTGATTTTATCTTAATAGTTCTTGGTCTTATTACTTTTCCTTTTATATCCATGGGGAAGTGGAATAAGAATCTTTCCTCCGTAAGCCATGCGTGTTGTAAAAGTCAACTAAAATGCCGGGAACAATGGGCTAGTAACCCCTTTTCCTGTAAAGATTACTAAAAAGAATAAGAAGAAATTTCCATTTATGGAAATTTATTTACTTCTCATAATTATCCCCTTAAGCATGCAAAACAAGTTGTCATGTCAGCACCTCGCCATTTTAGTGATGATGTATAGCCATAAAAATGGCAGTCAAAGTCTAGTAAAAAATCATCCTGCATGATGGGTGTGTTAGGTAAACAGTCAGTTCCAGTTTTTATCTTGTAAAATGTAATACAGTATATACTTAGATCAACATAGCCATACAATGTGGTGTTTTTCCTGTTTATTAAAAAAAATATTTAAAATTATAAATCTGCAGGAGCTTAACAAAAGAGAAAGCTAGACAGCAGTAATCTTTGTGACTACAGCCTAAATGGCACATTTTCCACTTTGTTCTATTGTTATATTTACTGATAACCTTACTGGATGTCAGTGAACTACTGAAAAAGAAAATCAAGACAAATAAAAATAAGAAAAAAATACAGCACAAATGCTAATGAAAGCTCATGCACATTTAGTAATAACTTGGTTAACATTTATATATTTTTTTATTCCAAATTACTTCATGTACATATTATTCAATGTAATATACGTAAATAGAAAAATTAAAGAAATAAAAGTAAAAATAAAAATGATCATTACCAGACATATTAGCTCCAGCCATAATCCCTGTGACACCACTGAACAACACTCCAAAAGTCAGGGCAAAGGTGACTATACTACAAGTTTCATAATCGTCTCCGCTGCATGTGGTATAGTCACGATATGGTTCACTTGGAAGCCCAAGGTTCTCTTTCAGTGTAAGTGCTGAAAATCCTGTATAGTTACCATACAACGTATAAGAATCATTTACAAGAGGATTGGCAGCTGGTATCGGCACCTACAAGAATAAGAAACACATTACTGTTGGTTTGCCGGTAAATGTATATAATACATTACATCACGAATGCCAAATCTTTGTAAGGACAAGAATTCAACTTCCTTAAACCCCCAACTGACAAAACCCACAACTCCAATGAAAAATATTCCACATATCTCAAAAAGAAATATTTCTCAAGTAGTGATATATACCGTAGGTACAGTCCATGACCACAGTCTAGTTACATATCGAGATTCGGAAATATTGGAAATTAACATAGCTAAGTACAGTTTCAAACTAGCATGGCACTGCATTCTTGGCCTTACACAAATATACTGCACGGCATTCTAAATTTTTTAACACATCGATCGTCTCCCACCGAAGTAGGATAACCCGAAAAAGAAGAAACAAAAGTTTTTCTTCTTTTACATTTAGTAATTTATACAGGACAGAATTCCTCCTCCATAAGCTATACGTGTAGTAAGAGGTGACTAAAATGCCAGGAGCAAGGGGCTAGTAACCCTTTCTCCTGTATATATTATGTACTAAATTTAAAAATAAAATTTTTGTTTTTCTTTTTGGGCCACCCTGCCTTGGTGGGATGCAGCCAGTTTGTTGAAAGAAGAATTTATACAGGTGAAGGGGTTACTAGCCCCTTGTTCCTGGCACTTTAATTGCCTCTTACAACATGCATAGCTTATGGAGGAAGAATTCTTCTTCACTTCCCTATGGAAGGTATTCTAAAATATTACTACAAAACAAAAACAAGCATTTAGGCTATAATTTTTACGTACACATGTCAAAACTTAAGAAACTTTTTAAATTAAACAAATAAAGTACAGATTAGTGGAGAAACTCACAGGAATAAAAAAATCATTTATGGGAAAGCTGAGAATGACTGAGAGCGTGCAGAAGAGAACAATAGCCAAGATTGCCACTGTCAACTTTGCAAACAATCCAGCACCGACGAGGCAAACCAACATATTGAAGACGTTCACTGCTGATCCATAGGCAAAGCTGTACCATCTTCCTTCTCGTAGGAAGTGTGCAATTTTACCTAAGTGGTAAAAAATAGTTTTTATAATTATTAATTGATGGTCACAAAACTTTTCATGAAGCTTACATTCCCAATGAAGAAACAAAATTGTTAATAAAATTAAATGCTTTGATTTGCTGTAAAAATTCAATACTCTATTTCATTTTCCTTACTGTATAAAGGCCAACAGTTATCAACCTACCAGAAGGTATACTCTGTCTTAGGCCCATACTTTAGGGTAGGCCTATACTCTAGGATAGCTTCATTTGAGGTCTTGATTAATCTTGTGTACATGCAATATCCACAACCAAAAAATTAAGTTTAAACAGAAATATTGTAATAATGAAAATCATAACCAGTAACAAAATTATAAAAATCAGAGTAAATACAGTGGTACCTCGAATTTCGGCCATAATTCATTCTAGATGGCTGTTCGAGTGCCATTACCAAACGAATTTGTTCCCATAAGGAAAAATGTAAATTAGATTAGTCCGTTTCAGACCCCCAAAGATACTCTTACAAAAGCAATTACAAAAATACACTTATATAATTATTTGAGTTGGGAGCTGTTCGAGATTCGAGGTAACACTGTACACTACAAAATAACACCTACCACTTTCACCAAAATTGTCAACCAAACCCTCAACACAACCAGTTGTGTAGAGAGCACTGCTGAAAATGTTTGCAAAGAAAAACAGCGCTCCAATAGCTCCCCCAAACTCTGGTCCTAAAGTTCTGCTGATCATATCTGCAACTTGTTAAGGAAATTGCTTTGGAAATATTCTTCATGCACTTCATTTATTAAGCTACTTTCATATAGGGAGAACTAATCAAGCAAATTAAGCCAAGAGAATGAACAGTAAACTAAGAGAGATGACAGCAAATTAGAGGGCAAGTGAAACAGGACTATGGTTTAAGAATGCTAAGGTTAGTAGATAGGGTGTGAAGAGAGACAGACAACATCAGAGATAAGTGAAAAGAAAAGGTTAGCTGTAAGATACAAAATGTAGTGCATGCATCTGCACAAGTAAAGACAAAGGGTAAAATTTAAGGGCAAAGAGATCAGGAGGCAGGAAATGGAACAGGGAACACTCAGGAAGTATGACAAAAACACATCCCCTGAAACAACATTTAAGTAAGTACTTGGAAGGACCATGCCATCACTGTTTTGGGCTCGACAATGAATATTAACAAATGAGAAGAAATGCAGACAAAAAATGGAGCAGAGAAGAACAACTTTTGTAAAGAAATGAGATCTCCAGAGAGGACAAAATGCATATCATACAGTATTTGTAGCAAGGGAGGCACTAGCCCTTGTACTTAACCCTCCCAGGGTTGGTGCCGTACTAGTCTGGCTTGCACGCCAGGGTTGGTGCCGTACTAGTACACAAATTCTAGTGCCTTCAAATCTAGTGAGAAAGCTGGTAGGCCTACATATGAAAGAATGAGTCTATGTGGTCAGTGTGCGCAGTATACAAAAAATCCTGCAGCACACAGTGCATAATAAAAAAAAAAACACCGACTGTGTTTTTGCTTTAAAATAGCGACTTTTGCAGTGTATTTTCGTATGCTATTTATGGTTGTATTCTAGTTTTCCTGGTCTCATTTTATAGAATGGAAGACATATTACAGAAATTGAGATGATTTTGATTGGTTTCACAATGAAAAGTACCTTGAAATTGAGCTAAAGGTAGCTGAAATGTTCGATTTTGCCAAAAAAATTCAAAGTAAAGAAAAAAATTAAGCCACGCTCTGAATACACATAACTAATGAGAAAAGTCATTTCACAAGTGCGATGATATTATTTATTACCATTTCTACATAATGCAGTAGTCTGCATTAACAGTAAAATCTTCTATTTTTTTGGAGAATAAAATTCAAAGTGAAGCAAAAAATGAGAGAGGTTGTGGACATGACTATGAATAGAAAAATGTCATTTATGCCAGGAATGTCTGTTTTTTATCACTGGACGACTATTTGAAAATTGGCCTTCAAATTTGGTGTGAACCATGCGAAACATTGCCAACTTCCTGACTACTTTATTGGGTATAGAAATCGGTCAAAATAGCGTGGTCTTAGCACTCATTCGCTAGCCAAAAAGATGGAGTTCATAGCGAAATAGTTATATTTTGTCGAGTAACGGTACATTGGAATTGGCAGCAAATAGGCCAAAGTTCGGCGATATCGCCGTATGCCGTGAAACTCATATCCCTACCCCCGGCACTTCCTTAAGAAATCGTAATGTCATTACGATTTCTTGAGTCATGTTGACCGCAGTGAAGGGACTTGAGCTAGAGTTCGTCACGGCCATGCTAGCTGGAGATTCATCTGTAAAAACTTGCTTTGTGGTCACAGTGGTGCCTGTGCTAACCTTCCTATGGTGTAGAAATATACCTAGTTGGATGAATCTTATTGTGGCTAGCTGGTCTAGTGGCTAACGCGACGGGCTGGAGTTTTGAGACTATGACCGCGGGTTCAATCCCGGCCGGGGGTATGGTTTGTTTGCAATCGTGTCATTACGATTTCTTGAGTCGCGTAAACATCGTCAAGACTAACTTCGCGAGAGCATAATTCCATAAGTTTTCCATCAAATTTCATACTTTTGGTGTCATTATGATCGGGAAAAGATTCTCTATCATTTCATAAGAATTTTTTTTTTTTTTTTTTCGAAAAATTTCCAACCCTGAGAACAAGTTTAGGAGAGGGCCTGCTGACCCTGAAAGGGTTAAGGGAAGGCCTTTCCTGAATAAATCCTACAGGTACTGTACAATGCTTATATCAAACTGGATCTATTAGAGGAGAGGAGACAACTCAAGAAAGCATCGAGTTAGGCAAAGAGAAAAGGTAGGGGGAAGAGAGGCTGAATCAAGTCTTCTCTGTTGAAAGGCTATTTCCCCAGAATAGAAAAGTGATTTTGAAATTTGAAGCATGCTTTGACCATGTAGATAATAGTTCTCTTATCAACAAGAATAAAGAATAAAACACACAAGTATATACAATCAAACGAAGCTAAAATAACAAACATTTATTAAGACAAATTACTGAATGGTACTCTCTTGTCAGCTTCATCCTTAGTATAGTATGACCCCGCTTTACGGCGTTTTGCTTTACGGCATTTTGCTAATACAGATATTTCAAATTATGACCAAAACTCACTATACAGCTCCCCCACCTGACTTTCTAATACAGTCCCCACGCCCCACCTGGTTTGTTTACATTCTCTGTGAGCTCCGTGAGCACCGCGTCTCCCCATTATGTCTTGAAACTTTCCAAATTTCAAGTGTTTTTAAAAGTTATTTTATATATACTCTGATAATTATACTTATGTGTACCCGTACCTAAATAAACTTACACACTGTGCTGGCATGCAGGTACACATTAAAATCAGTAAGAATGTCTTATGTCTTGAGATGCTATGTTAATAATGATATTAATAATACTCTCCATGGGGAAGTAGCATAGAATTCTTCCTCCATAAGCTATGCATGTCATAAGAGGCGACTAAAATGGTGGGAGCAAGGGGCTCATAACCCTTTCTCCTGTATATGTTACTAAATGTAAAAAGAGAAACTTTCGTTTTTTTATCTTGGGCCACCCAACCACAATGGGATGTGGCTGGTGCGTTGAAAGAAGAAAGAATAATAACAATCACCGAGGCATATTAAATGTCGTATATTAAGTTAATATACACATTTTCATTAATCCATCTACGATATTTTTTCAAAATTATATAATAAACACACTACGTAACGTATAAACATGATAAATACACCCCACAGTAGAATAAATTAACACAAACATGAGATGTGGTAGCCAAGCGACTTGTAGGAGTGACAGAAAAAATAACGTTTTCTCTAGTCCAACATCAGAGAAAATGTGTACACTATAATATTACTGGGGTAACTAGAAAATTTTCTTTTCATATGCTTTCACTCAGAGCGTCATTACTTCTAAAAATGGTGTTACATGAGAATGGGAGTGTTGCTCCTTCTACTGTATCAATGTGGAGACAATTTGTACACAATGTAGTGTTTGTATTATGGTATAATACAAACGTATGAACCTCATTGGAAATAAGTCACTTTGTCTGGCTTTTTTGGGTTATCCCAGGTTCTCTACACATATGCTGCTATGTATGATAATCTATGTAACTATTTGTGTATACCTGAATAAACTTACTTATTTACTTAATTACTGAACCAAAACCAAACACGTTCGCCTGGTTTGTTTACATAACTCTGTCTGTCCTCTCTCATGTACTCACTCTCTCTCTCTTGTTTATTCGTTTTATTTCATTTACTCACCTTTGACCCTACATTAACCCTTGCAGGGTTTCGGCCACACTAGTACAGCTTACGCGCCAGTGTCCATGACATACTAGTATGCATAAATTCTAGCGCCTTCAAATCTAGTGAGAGAAAGCTGGTAGGCCTACATATGAAAGAATGGGTCTATGTGGTCAGTGTGCACAGTATAAAAAAAATCCTGCAGCACACAGTGCGTAATGAGAAAAAAAAAACTGACTGTTTTTGGATTAAAACAACGACTTTGCACTATATTTTCGTATGGTATTTATTGTTGTATTCTAGTTTTCCTGGTCTCATTGTATAGAACGAAAGACATATTACAGAAATTGAGATGATTTTGACTGGTTTTACAATGAAAAGTACCTTGAAATTGAGTTCAAAGTAGCAGAAATGTTCGATTTTTACCAAAGTTCAAAAGTAAATAAATCATGCTAAGCGTCCAATACACGTCAACTGGTGAATCTAATATTCTTTCACAATTGCGCCGATATTATTTATACCATTTCTACACTAATGCAGTAGTCTGCATAACAGTAAATCTTATTTTTATTTTGTGAGAAGAAAAATTCGAAGTGGAAAGCAAAAGAAATGTAAGAGGGACCTGGGGATGTGACTAATGAACAGAGGAAATGTTATTTTAGTGCCAGGAATGTCTTTCTTGTTTATTCTGGACCCTATTTGGAAATTGGCATCTTTTGAAATTTGTGTGAAATTGGCAAAATTGCTAAATTCTGACCACTGTATTGGATAGTTGAAATCAGTAAATTGGTGGTTTCTTGTACTCATTCGATAGAAAAAATGGAGTTCTAGCGAGATAGTTATGATTTTTGTCACTAGTACATTGGAATTAGCTGACAATAGGGCTCAAAGTGAGCAAAATCGCCGATGCATAAACATCGTCGAGACTGCTAACTTCGCGAGAGCATAATTCTGTAAGTTTTCCATCAAATTTCATACTCTTGGTGTCATTATGATCGGAAAAGATTCTGTATCTTTTCATGAGAAAAATCATTTTTTTTTTTCAAATTTGGGGGACCCTGAGAACAAGTCTCTGAGAGGGCCTGTGGACCCTGAAAGGGTTAAGACTACAAATATTTTGAGGTAAGTAATGAGTGAACTGCATATGCATTTTATTGCAGAGATGCCTTAAATGTCGTAGTATATTATGTGTGGGTGGAGTGGCCTGATATGATAGGTATGGTAGCCTGGCTGGCTACCATACCTACCACACTTGATTTCCTACAATAAATATTACTCATCTCACCCTACATTAAGACTACAATATTTTAAGGTAAGTAATGAGTGTACTACATGTGTATTTTATTTTATTTTAAGGTAAGTAATGAGTGTACTACATGTGTATTTTATTTTTTTTTTTTTTATGCCTAGTTCTATTGCTAACTTAATATACGTTGAGTAAACTTGTTATCTAGTATTTATATGCATTTACAAGTGGAAAAAAAGGGTGTTCCACTTTACAGCAATTTCCACTTTATGGCAGTAGTCTGGAACCTGACCTGCTGCATAAGTAGGGCCCTACTGCATTCAATGAATTTGCACTATAAATATATTTAGAAAGACAATTGAATTAATGTTTCAGTTTCAACCTACAATACATACTATACGCAAGAACAGCTGCAAAAGAAATGCACATGATCATTACATTCATGGGGGAGCACTAAACCCATAGGGGTCATACAATGCCTGGAGGAATGGAAAGCATTTAGGCTTGATTCAATAAAATGGAGTATTGGTCCAATTCCTTAGATCAAGAGCCCCTCACCAGCATCAAGGAACTTCCCTGGAGGCCAAAAGAAAGGTACAAATGTGAAAATATAAAAGGGATACAATATGCCCCGCCTCCTTCAACAGCACCATTTGTAGATATGGCACAAACTGAGAGGATGGTGAAGAGTAAGATCATGTAGGCAAGCGACAGTGAGCCACAAGATGCCAGAAGGCCCAAGTTACCAATGATGAATCCTGTACAAAACAAAATAAAATATCAGTAAAAGATTGGCACACAAATCCTTAATATAAAAAGTTGACTGGTCTTGCACAATTTATGTGCATCATGATATTAAATTACAGTGTACTTCAAAAATCAAAACAGTTCACTATAGTTTCACATAAAATTGTAAGTGCAATATAGCAGCTGCATGAGTATATCGAGTCAACTAGCCCTTGTATTGTGAAACTGTCAATTAAATAGTCTTTAACGAGCATCAGTCATTTAATAAATTAATAAAAATAATAATAGTGTGAATGATGGTGAATTTTTTTTTTTTGGTCACCCTGCCTAGGTGAGAGACGACCAGCGTGTTAAAATAAAAATAATAATAAAGAGTAATAATAATAATAATAATAATAATAATAATAATAATAATAATAATAATGAGAGAGTGGGTGAGATGTTATCAACAAATTTTGTTGAAAATAAGAAAAAGTTTTGGAGTGAGATTAACAAGTTAAGAAAGCCTAGGGAACAAATGGATTTGTCAGTTAAAAATAGGAGAGGAGAGTTATTAAATGGAGAGTTAGAGGTATTGGGAAGATGGAGGGAATATTTTGAGGAATTGTTAAATGTTGATGAAGATAGGGAAGCTGTGATTTCGTGTATAGGGCAAGGAGGAATAACATCTTGTAGGAGTGAGGAAGAGCCAGTTGTGAGTGTGGGGGAAGTTCGTGAGGCAGTAGGTAAAATGAAAGGGGGTAAGGCAGCCGGGATTGATGGGATAAAGATAGAAATGTTAAAAGCAGGTGGGGATATAGTTTTGGAGTGGTTGGTGCAATTATTTAATAAATGTATGGAAGAGGGTAAGGTACCTAGGGATTGGCAGAGAGCATGCATAGTTCCTTTGTATAAAGGCAAAGGGGATAAAAGAGAGTGCAAAAATTATAGGGGGATAAGTCTGTTGAGTGTACCTGGTAAAGTGTATGGTAGAGTTATAATTGAAAGAATTAAGAGTAAGACGGAGAATAGGATAGCAGATGAACAAGGAGGCTTTAGGAAAGGTAGGGGGTGTGTGGACCAGGTGTTTACAGTGAAACATATAAGTGAACAGTATTTAGATAAGGCTAAAGAGGTCTTTGTGGCATTTATGGATTTGGAAAAGGCGTATGACAGGGTGGATAGGGGGCAATGTGGCAGATGTTGCAAGTGTATGGTGTAGGAGGTAGGTTACTGAAAGCAGTGAAGAGTTTTTACGAGGATAGTGAGGCTCAAGTTAGAGTATGTAGGAAAGAGGGAAATTTTTTCCCAGTAAAAGTAGGCCTTAGACAAGGATGTGTGATGTCACCGTGGTTGTTTAATATATTTATAGATGGGGTTGTAAGAGAAGTAAATGCGAGGGTCTTGGCAAGAGGCGTGGAGTTAAAAGATAAAGAATCACACACAAAGTGGGAGTTGTCACAGCTGCTCTTTGCTGATGACACTGTGCTCTTGGGAGATTCTGAAGAGAAGTTGCAGAGATTGGTGGATGAATTTGGTAGGGTGGTTTCAAAGAAGAAAATTAAAGGTGAATACAGGAAAGAGTAAGGTTATGAGGATAACAAAAAGATTAGGTGATGAAAGATTGAATATCAGATTGGAGGGAGAGAGTATGGAGGAGGTGAACGTATTCAGATATTTGGGAGTGGACGTGTCAGCGGATGGGTCTATGAAAGATGAGGTGAATCATAGAATTGATGAGGGAAAAAGAGTGAGTGGTGCACTTAGGAGTCTGTGGAGACAAAGAACTTTGTCCTTGGAGGCAAAGAGGGGAATGTATGAGAGTATAGTTTTACCAACGCTCTTATATGGGTGTGAAGCGTGGGTGATGAATGTTGCAGCGAGGAGAAGGCTGGAGGCAGTGGAGATGTCATGTCTGAGGGCAATGTGTGGTGTGAATATAATGCAGAGAATTTGTAGTTTGGAAGTTAGGAGGAGGTGCGGGATTACAAAACTGTTGTCCAGAGGGCTGAGGAAGGGTTGTTGAGGTGGTTCGGACATGTAGAGAGAATGGAGCGAAACAGAATGACTTCAAGAGTGTATCAGTCTGTAGTGGAAGGAAGGCGGGGTAGGGGTCGGCCTAGGAAAGGTTGGAGGGAGGGGGTAAAGGAGGTTTTGTGTGCGAGGGGCTTGGACTTCCAGGAGGCATGCATGAGCGTGTTTGATAGGAGTGAATGGAGACAAATGGTTTTTAATACTTGACGTGCTGTTGGAGTGTGAGCAAAGTAACATTTATGAAGGGATTCAGGGAAACCGGCAGGCCGGACTTGAGTCCTGGAGATGGGAAGTACAGTGCCTGCACTCTGAAGGAGGGGTGTTAATGTTGCAGTTTAAAAACTGTAGTGTAAAGCACCCTTCTGGCAAGACAGTGATGGAGTGAATGATGGTGAAAGTTTTTCTTTTTCGGGCCACCCTGCCTTGGTGGGAATCGGCCAGTGTGATAATAAAAAAAATAAAAAAAATAATAATAATAATAACTGCTATTATTGACACAAAAGAAAAAGTATAAAGATACTGTTAAATGCAAGATGAATTATTAGTTACACTGAGGGACTGATCACCACAAAATATCTAAAGTCTTCCACTGTTTCTTCTCTAAACTGGATTGATGAAGCCAATGGTTGGCAAAATGTCTGCATAATAAAAAAATCCAAGTGTTGCACATGTCTCTTATTCACCAGTATGTACAGTAATTAATACGTATAGAGGCTGCTTTATACAGTTTCATTTTACACAAATTTATTATATGGGGTGACCCCAATTCTACCAGTAATTCATTATATGTGGTATAAAGTTGCTCTTATGTGATGTGTGGTAGCTCAATGTTCTTTTGGTAAATATTCAAGGAAAGCAGAATTTGCAAAATCTAGGATTTACTTTATGCAATTTTGCTTTATGTACTGTGAGCCAGGAATGCATCCATCACATAAAGGAATCTGTATACTAGAGAAAGTCAGTATGCTTTCCTGGTTATGTTTTAAGAGGTCAAGCATTGTGTAAAAATTTATATAACCAAATTAACTCTATGATACAGAAAGAAAACTATTAGTATGAATACTAACCAACACGAAGGAAGAGCAATGCACTGAACTGAGAAAGACAAACAGGAGCAAACACTCCTTCAAAGGTGCCAAGCGTGCGACCCGAGTCATTATTTTCCTCAGAACTGGTACTGCTAATGTCTCGTCCACTTAAGCTTCGAAACAATTTACGCTGTGTTAACAAAGGTGCTCTCTCCTGAAAAAAAAATCAAGGATTACTGAGTAAAATTATTTAATAAATACATAACTAGTTGACAGAGGCACTGATAATAGTAGAGGTTCGGCACTTCCATCATATCCTCCCTTATTCTATGACTAAGATTACAAGATTTTAATCAATAATTATGGCTAATATTCTCAATACAGTAGATTGTCATCCCCCTGTATATTTTTTAGTGAATTTATATCCATTCTATAATGCGAAGACCAGATGTGTATAATCAAAATGTGGTCTTGCCAAAGATATACAGAATGTAGAGTGTATACAACTTATTAGGTAAGAGGGCACATGCAGCTAGTGCAACATTCTATTGGGACATTTTAAAACTCCCAAAGAATGAAATGTTGCTATAATAAAAGGTTGCGTTTGTTGCATCTGTGTCCTCTTACCTAACATTTTGTTGGTAATTCTACCATTATTACTAAATACAACTTCAGGACTTCTATTATGTATACATGTACTTCTATTATTATCCATAGTTTCAGTTATCCATGGTTTACTATGCCCCCCCCCAAAATAAAAAACCTTAATTTTGCTTAATAATGGCCCCAAGGTGCAATAGTGATGCTGGCAGTTCTTCAAAGCCTAAGAGAAGCAGTGAAATGCTTCCCATCAGTGAAAAAGTGTTAATTCTTAGACTTATTTTTTTGCTTAATTTATCAATTAAATTTTATCACAGGTATGTATGTAAAGGAAAAATGACTTATATACAGAGTTCACTAGTATCCATGGTAGGTCTTGGAATACATCCACTGTGGATACGGGAGGACTATCATACTGTATTGGATACAAAACAAAGGCAGAGATTAGCATTATTGTAAAGACAATGTACAGCTGCCTTGGCTTAAGATTTCTGTTAACCAGGTGTCTTTTTTGCATTTAGGTTGATCGAGTTATACAGTATACTGCATTAAGATGCTTAGCTCGTAATTCTTTTCTACCACATCATCTGTTTCTGATGTTTTCTTTGTGTGATATTAAGCCATTACATTTGTAGACTTAGAAGTGAATCTGCTGCTTTCCTGGCTAATTTAACCTTTCTAAATCATGCTAAAGCTTCCCGGTTTCCCTAGAATTCATTTGGCAGAACAGAATAATACTAAAAATTCTCAAAAAGCTTTATTTAATTTGATGTTCTTAAGTTGTGCACCTGAACGTCCACAAGTAAAATTCAAACGCTAATTATTATAAAAACTGGATAGCAAAATGCCATTCAGGACAAGATAAGATAAGATTTTCTTCGGATTTTTAACCCCGGAGGGTCAGCCACCCAGGATAACCCAAGAAAGTCAATGCATCATTGAGGACTGTCTGTCTTATTTCCATTGGGGTCCTAAATCTTGTCCCCAGGATGCGACCCACACCAGCTGATTAACACTCAAGTACCTATTTGCTGCTAGGTGAACATGACAACAGGTGTAAGGAAACACGTCGAAATGTTTCCACCCCGCCGGGAATCGAACCCGGGCTCTCCGTGTGTGAAGCAAGAGCTTCAGCCACCAGGCAACTGGGACACCTAATGACCCCCATTTACACTACTAATTTTTAATTATCCTAAGGATAGTGTTCATTTCTTGGCTTAAATAGGATACTACTGTATACATTATGATAATCTTTGTGCACTAAAGAAAAAAATAATATATACCAATATAAAATATCAGAGAGAAAAGAACCTGGCAGGCCAGAGAGAAGAACCTGGCAGACCAGAGAGAAGAGCCTGGCAGGCCAGAGAGAAAAACCTGGCAGGCCAGAGAGAAGAACCTGGCAGGCCAGAGAGAAGAACCTGGCAGGCCAGAGAGAAGAACCTGGCAGACCAGAGAGAAGAGCCTGGCAGGCCAGAGAGAAAAACCTGGCAGGCCAGAGAGAAGAACCTGGCAGGCCAGAGAGAAGAACCTGGCAGGCCAGAGAGAAGAACCTGGCAGACCAGAGAGAAGAGCCTGGCAGACCAAAGAGAAGAACCTGGCAGGCCAGAGAGAAGAGCCTGGCAGACCAGAGAGAAGAGCCTGGCAGGCAAGAGAGAGAAGAGCCTGGCAGGCCAGAGAGAGAAGAGCCTGGCAGGTCAGAGAGAAGAGAGTGGCAGGCCAGAGAGAGAAGAGCCTGGTAGGCCAGAGAGAGAAGAGCCTGGCAGGCCAGAGAGAGAAGAGCCTGGCAGGCCAGAGAGAGAAGAGCCTGGCAGGCCAGAGAGAGAAGAGCCTGGCAGGCCAGAGAGAGAAGAGCCTGGCAGGCCAGAAAGAAGAACCTGGCAGGCCAGAGAGAGAAGAGCCTGGCAGGCCAGAGAGAGAAGAGCCTGGCAGGCCAGAGAGAGAAGAGCCTGGCAGGCCAGAGAGAGAAGAGCCTGCGCCAAGGCGGGAGGAAGAAGACCTGCAGGCAGAGAGAGAAGAGCCTGGCAGGCCAGAGAGAGAAGAACCTGGCAGGCCAGAGAGAGAAGAACCTGGCAGGCCAGAGAGAGAAGAACCTGGCAGGCCAGAGAGAGAAGAACCTGGCAGGCCAGAGAGAAGAACCTGGCAGGCCAGAGAGAAGAACCTGGCAGGCCAGAGAGAAGAACCTGGCAGGCCAGAGAGAAGAACCTGGCAGGCCAGAGAGAAGAACCTGGCAGGCCAGAGAGAAGAACCTGGCAGGCCAGAGAGAAGAACCTGGCAGGCCAGAGAGAAGAACCTGGCAGGCCAGAGAGAAGAACCTGGCAGGCCAGAGAGAGAAGAACCTGGCAGGCCAGAGGAGAAGAACCTGGCAGGCCAGAGAGAAGAACCTGGCAGGCCAGAGAGAGAAGAACCTGGCAGGCCAGAGAGAAGAACCTGGCAGGCCAGAGAGAGAAGAACCTGGCAGGCCAGAGAGAAGAACCTGGCAGGCCAGAGAGAGAAGAACCTGGCAGGCCAGAGAGAAGAACCTGGCAGGCCAGAGAGAGAGAAAACCTGGCAGGCCAGAGAGAGAGAAGAGACCTGGCAGGCCAAGAGAGAAGAGCCTGGCAGGCCAGAGAGAAGAACCTGGCAGGCCAGAGAGAGAAGAACCTGGCAGGCCAGAGAGAGAAGAACCTGGCAGGCCAGAGAGAAGAACCTGGCAGGCCAGAGAGAAGAACCTGGCAGGCCAGAGGAGAGAAGAAACCTGGCAGGCCAGAGAGAAGAACCTGGCAGGCCAAGAGAGAAGAACCTGGCAGGCCAGAGAGAAGAACCTGGCAGGCCAGAGAGAAGAACCTGGCAGGCCAGAGAGAAGAACCTGGCAGGCCAGAGAGAGAAGAACCTGGCAGGCCAGAGAGAGAAGAACCTGGCAGGCCAGAGAGAGAAGAACCTGGCAGACCAGAGAGAAGAACCTGGCAGGCCAGAGAGAGAAGAACCTGGCAGGCCAGAGAGAAGAACCTGGCAGGCCAGAGGTTAAAACATGTTGCAACAATTAGCGTGGGTTGTAGTAGACGAACCTTGGGGACCCCTAATGATTAACAAGAACCCCAATTAACTCCCTTTATCCGACCTATTTCAGGTTATCCTCGGTAACTTACAATACGTATGATAACTGTACCTATGTGTACCTGTGCCTAAATAAATAAACTTACGAGGGACCTAGTGACTCACTTTTTTACTCACGCCCACCACTGCTTCTGCTTCTCCTGTGCCCCCGAACTCAGCGTTGGTGCTGTTAATTGACGCTTCCCCGGCGGCCATTCTGACACCAACCCTCCACCACAACCAAGAATAATGTCTCCCCGCTACCCAGAGCAGTAATCAGGAGTTAGAGCGTGAGGGAGAAGGGCAGGAAGGCACCTCCACCATCACCACCACCAACAACACCAACTGTTTCCTCCTCCACTAATGACAACACAAGGCAAAGCCAACCACAGCTACCACCGCCACCATAACAAAATAACTTTAATATTCTACACACACTTCAATTTTATTATTAATAATTTTGCTACGTGGATTAAATTCTCTGTGCTATTTTCCATATATGGCAAATTTTAGTTCCATTGAGTTGCTATTGTAAATTTAGCATTTAATGGAGAGAGTTGGAGTCTGGTAGTACTGCTCGAGGTGGCTACAGGAGTAGAAATTTCTCAATTTAATGTATTTTTTCGAAATGTTTGGTACAACATTTTGGCAAGGTTTTTATGAAAATGTAACCTATATTTACGCTGAAATTCTACATAATAGTTTTATCAACAAGAATAGTAAATTATTGACTATATAATATTAAAGAAATTGATACGCACGTGATATTACGCTAAAAAAAAACGTTAAAGGGTTTAATAATTAGAAAATATGGCTTTTGTAATCAGGATGTATTCATTATTAAATAATGAAAGTTAAGATAAACACATTCAATGAAAATGACTCACTGTAATGTACATAATTTTTGGAACCTGTCCGCTGAAAAAAAAAAAATGAAATAAAGCGACAATGGCTACTATCCATGAGTGGCTATGTCATCCCTAGTGTCGAGAGGAAATGTCACACTTCAGATCAATCTTATCTCCTGTAATATGTATGTTAAGTGTAGGTAGGCCGTGTAAACGTGTGTAGTCCACTCCAGCGCCCATACAGGTTAACCTGTGTGACACTAAATGCATGAGTGACCATGTGATTAACAAACATAACTCTCTCTTTCTCTCTTTCTCTCTCTCTCTCTCTCTCTCTCTCTCTCTCTCTCTCTCTCTCTCTCTCTCTCTCTCTCTCTCTCTCTCTCTCTCTCTCTCTCTCTCTCTCTGTTACTGCCATGCACCGACCTTCTCTCACTAGTAATTACAGGTTATTTTGTATTTTTGCTCTGTCCTCGTCACATCAAGGTCCGTTCCACTAGGGTAAAGCCGCGCATACTTACCTACGTACGTACGTATATACTTACGTACATGTGAACGTGGCCTGGTGTCTAAAGCTCTCGCTTCACACGATGAGGGTCCGGGTTCGATTCCCGGCGGAGGGGTGAAAACATCGGATGTGTTTCCTTACACCGGTTGTCCATGTTCACCCATCAGTAAAATGGGTACCTGGGTGTCAATCGACTGGTGTGGGTTGCATCCTGGGACAAAATTGACTTAATTTACCTGAAATGCTTTGAGTAACAAGGGGCTTGTATACCTTGTACATACAGTACATACATAAACATATGTACATGAGTTAAGACAACCTCTGCAGCCACAGTTCAATATATACATATATACATACTCTTTAATGCAAAGTTATGAAAATCAGGAAGGGCAAAAGAAGACCAGAAACGAAGTAGAGGCATGGAAGGAAGAAGGACCTTGGGGTGAGCATAGTACCGAGCATATCGCCTCAGGTGAACATCAACCAAATAAGATCTTCAGCAAATGTGCGTCTGGCTAATGTAGCATTAGCTGTCAGAGGCGTCAGGCCCATCTTGAAGTACGCAGCACCAGTATGTAACCCACACCAGATGAAGCATGTCAAGAAACTTGAAAAAGTGCAAAGGTTTGCAACAAGACTACTCCCGAAGCTAAGGGTATATAGCTATGAGGAGAGACTATAGAAGATAATCTTGATGACAGAGGACTGAAGGACTAAGGGTGATATGATAACGAAATACAAAATACTGAAAGAAATTTATACGAAGGCACAGACTGATGTATTTTCTTGCTCTGTTTTTTACACCGTTCATTATACAGGCTCAAGTTGTAGTGCCTTCGACCCACATCTGAAAAACTAGGTTAGGGGCCTGGCACAGGTAAAAACATTTCCCCTATTCACTTAGCAGTAATTAGGTACCTGGGTGTTAGCTGACTGTCCTGGGTTGCATCCTGGCTCTCTTGGGCTATCCTAGGCTACTAAGGTACAGTACCACTCCCAGGATGCCGCTCACAACAGGTGACTAACTCCTTGGTACCTATATACCGTGAAAAATGGCAACAGGTGTAAGGTGACTGGCCTCTACAGCTCCAGATGAGCGGTATTGAACCCAGTTGCTTTGGATGTGAGAGGAAAATGGTAGCTCTGTGCTGCCGGCCTCATACTAATGTTTCATTTTTTTTTTTTTGCGTTTACGGTGATTTTGATGGAAGAAGAAGAAAAACCGATTATTTGGGCCATTAACAAAGAGGCTTAGTGACCAGAGAGAGCCCAAGAAAATCAAGCAATATCTCTTTTCTTTCCTCTCAGCGCAGACACACACACACACACACACACACACACACACACACACACACACACACACAGGGGCCAGGAGCTCGGACTCGACCCCCGCAACCTCAACTAGGTGAGTACAACTAGGTGAGTACACACACACACACACACACACACAACACACACACACACACACACACACGTGTATGTGTGCAGGCAAACTCACGCATAAATATCGATACACATGTGTACATGTGTGTGGTTTGTTTGAGGGACAAACATACGTGAGTCAGCAAGCGAAGGCTGGGAGAACTGCTCTCACTTGTGCTGTGCGATGTTTAGCAACAACAGCAAAAGCAGTAGCAGTGATAACAGCACCATGTAACAGCAGAGACAACAGCTAAAACTGTCGCGACAGCAGTAGCAGCAATTGCAACAAAAGAAAATGCTGTGACAACAACAGCAACAGGAGAAACATCAGTGGCAACAGCAGCAGCAGTGAGAACAGCAACAAAGAAAAAGTGAAAACAGTAGCAGCATCGACAGCAACAGAAACAACAGTGACAGCAGCAGCAACAACAGCTACAGCAGCAGCAACAACAGCTACAGCAGCAGCAGCAACAACAGCTACAACAGCAGCAACAACAGCAGCAACAACAGCAGCAACAACAGCAGCAACAACAGCTACAGCAGTAGCAAAAACTCTGGTGCTACTCTCGTGGTGACCTATTTAGTATTCTCTCACCTTTTCCTGTCATAAGTACAAATATTTACAACTTCCTAGACCTCGTGGGGGAGAACGAGAAATTAAAATATTGTTTGGATAAAAGGGGTGTGTGTAACAGTGAGTACAAAGTGATATGGGGTAACAAAATGGAAACTTGTTGGCTGTAATGAATGGACAGTGGTGTCCATACTATCGTGGTATCGATGCTGCTCTTATCTGTATTTTTTGTACCTCTGTATGTGTGCTCAAATTTTTAAATAAATAAATAAATAAATAAATAAATTTGAGCATCACAACCAAGGAAGCTTTCCTTCAGGCCAGGACGTTAGGCACTGAACTCCGAGGGAAAACTACAAACGTACGTAGCAGGATCACCTAAGCTAATGATCAATAGAAATTAATATTCAACAAAGCTTTAAGTCCTTTCACGAAAACAGTCATTTAAAAAATTAATGGTGAGAACCTAAAATTATACAAAACCTGTCTGTCATCTTGCCCACTGTTAAACAAGAAAACTGAAACTGCGAGCTTAGCCCATAGATTCGCCACGGGCATCCCAAAACCTCAACAAGACTTCAACTGCATTGTTGAAAAGCACAAACAATAAGACACCAACCACAAAAACGGCTATTTTCAAGTCATGTACTTGCAGCACAAGCCATGTATTTCCTGCATCAGAAAATTGACGACTTTCTCGACCTTCCTGTTCCACCGCAAGACTTTGTAGATTTTACTGAACTGTGTTGGCTTTAACTGTTTTTAAAATGCTCCTTTTCAACAGACTTTTATATATTAGATGATAACATGGTTATAAATTACCATATTTTTTAAAGGGGTGGACCGGTAAGCCTGTCGAAGGCCTCGGTCAGATGACCTAAGGTGGGTCATCATCTGACAAAGACCAGCGTCAGGAAAAACTTGTCCTGTTTCCTGACGAACCTTACCTAACCTAACCTAACAGACTTTTTGCTTACCAATGGGTTCCCCATAATGTACTGGCGAACCTATACATTTAACATCTCGAAGCTGAGCGATTTTCCTCCATTACCTCCTCTGTCACCTAGCTCCTATATGTTAACGACATCCTTAACATCTTTTAACATAAGAAAGGAGGATCACTGCAGCAGGCCTGTTGGCAGGCCCTTTACAATTCATCCCACTAACATAAGAACATAAGAACATAGAAGATTCGACGTCCCTCCACTCCAGCAGAAGCTCAGCTAGATCGACCCATCCAGCCGCCTCAAACCTGAAGAAGTCGACCATCCCTGATGTTTTACTCTGTAAATCTGATCATGCACTCCATTCCGAAATGTACCGTAAAACCAACATTCAGCACGATCTTTGTGTCATCATCATAGGCTTCTAAGTGTTCTTCATGACTGCAGTAGTGATTTCCTTGAAGAAGAATGCTCGTTCCTCAAGTCTTTTCTAAACTGCACCGTCCTCACCCTTTCAACAAAGATTGTGGACGCTGTGCACATAACGTCTTAACTCACCCTGGCGCTGGTAAAAGAAAAAAAAAAGCGATCAACATGATATTGATAGTTTTCCCTTCGTTATCGCCTTCCATTGCTGTACCTGTTCTCAAGGTGAATGGAAATAAAGTCACGGGAAAAAATCACAGAAAAAAAGGTCACAGACTCCAGGTAAAAAAAAGTTACAGGGTAAAAAAGTCACAGAGTGAATTTACAAGGTAAGGTTAGGCTACATTATGTTAACCTAGATAAGTTCTACCTAGGCTACGCAAAGTTAAATTAGGCTAAGTTAGGCTAAGTTACGTATGCCGACACCATCTCCAGCTACAAGATTTGACTTTTTTCTTTGACCTTTTTTTATAGGATTCGTTCTAAGTTCCACTGAAGGTGAACGTGCATTCTAGGACACCACTGTACCTTATTCTTCCCCAACAAACACCGCTATTCCCCTTCCTCGGATCAAACTTGCTGCGAGTATTCAAGTGTTGAACCGAAGTTATACACACAATGTCGTGCATTTAATACATTGTAAAAAAATA